CCGTATAATATTTGACTGTATGTCCCTCAGGGGTTGTAACTTACGTCGTTGTTGTTTGTTATGTTATACCAAGACAGGTCCGAGAGCAATAGATAGTGCGGATCTGAGTTACGTATGAGGGGAGAACCGACCAGATGGACGTAGCACGGTGAGGCTGGAGACGTCGAGTAGGTCTTACGTGCTCTGGAGCAGACCAGGAAGTTGAGAGGTTTTAAGGAGCGGTGTGGTGTTGGGCGGGAGGCGAGGGAAGTGACCGAGGTCTTTGACGATGCTTATGGTGAAGTTTCTGTTGACCAGTACATTCTGTTAGTGTGTTTTGCTTTACCTGAGTCCGGGTGAGGGTGTAGGGTCCTTATATTTAGCACATCTTGCATTTCTGGTTGGATACTAACTGCGTTTCATTGGCTTGTACTTGTATTTTGCACAATGACAATAAAGTTGAATCTAATCTAATCTAAAAATGATCCATTATTGCTGCAAAATGAGAACAACATAGTTAAAATAAGGACATCGTTATGTGGGGGTAACATCAAGATCGAGATATAGTGTCTGTGCTGCGGCAGGCTTGGATGAGGACACACAACATTATGTCTGCTATCAAATCCCTAAGCCCCAGTGCAAAGATTAATGCATCTTCCATTTGTTTCAAAATATGTGCAATCCATCAAATGCAGTCATTTAAGGACTAGTTTAAAAAAAACACGCATGGTTCAATGTTTCATCCCTGTCTTTTTTTCTCTTCTTACATCTGCCTTTCCTTCCTTAGGAAATGTACAAAGCCAGCAAGTATGAGGTGTCTCCTGATTTGAAGCATGTGCTGCTGGCCTACAACGTTGCACCGGTGAGCTTCTCATTTGTTTGCTTGTTTTTTGAATTAACAAACTGACAGCCAAATATGTCAGCTGCCTCCACTGGGAGGGTGGGGTGTTTGCCCGTAAAGCAACATGGGCAGGGGGGGGAGGGAAGGGAAAGTAATCATTGCGGGCTGTGAAGGCCTGTCGCACACCGCTGCCTGTCACTGATGGCAGCATGGGCCAGCACAGCCGTGTGGAACTGTAGTGAGGCAGGCAGAAACATAAACAACCCCCCCGGTGCTGAAACAGGCTTGCCGGGTGGGAGATGAGATCAACAGGAAGAAAACAAAGTATTGGCTAGGGATTTATAATTTCTGTTGAATTGCGAATAAAGTATCCTTTGACTTCATCGGCTCCACTAGCATTTTGATATACAGAAAAGCATTTCAGCTCCTAATATAGGTGGATCAGATATATTGAATCATTTTGCAAGCTGATGTCTGTGTGTCTACTTCATTTTGCCTCACCACCTAGTCACTGAAGAGAGTTTGTGCCTATTGTTCGTGTGTAAAAGATACTGGGAGAGATATAACCTTTTATTATTGCCGGAGATGAATGGAAAATATATCGACACACTACAGATGCCTAGTCTGTTGCGTTGTATGTTTTTGCATTTATTATTCTATTCAAACGTCCATCACCTTGAGCGATGACTGTCATTCTAGAGATACTGTAGCAGAGTACAATGCACCTTCATGCACTGCTCATCTCTATAACATGTTCTATGGATCACTTGGTTGATAATAAACTGTGTTTTCATGATAACACACAAACAAGCTATCCTGTTGGAATGTAAATATGTCTATATTTAGCAGTGACTTAATGCACACAAGTGTAGCATACACATGATGAACTATTTGTAAAATGCGAAGAAAAACACATCACAAATATCCGACCAAAAATGTTCATAGTTTTCAAAGACCAGAGGTCAGTGTTAGATATTTTTCTAGCTTAGTGGGTATCATATTTGTGTAAGAGGTATGTGGATGAGGATAATGTGTATCAGCTCCCAATTAAATAGAAGAGAGAGAAATATGTTGATAGAGCTTAAAGAGTAATTACCAGAAGCTGAAATAAATTGTTGAACTGTCCATCAGTGCAGCAAGGTGAGATGTTAAACCATTGGAGGTATTTTTTGAAGAGTGTAGTTAGTTACAGCACTCTTTCAAATTTAACCTGTACTCTGATATAAAGCAAATAAAAGTATGACAGCAGTATTGTGCTGACTATAGATTTTATGAAAGGGCTTAATATTTCCTTGTATGTCTTTCCTTAATCTTTTCTTTTTTACATTAATTTAAAATAATGAATTCGACTAATTTGTAATTATTTTCTAGACAGTGGCATCATAACTGATTTTTCAAAATAACAAACAAAACTGTTTCAATTAAGATGTCAAGATCAAACTGCAACCTGTTTCGTGTTAGGATCTGAAATGTTTTTTATTTATTTTTCTCTCCTGCTGCCTTTTCCTACAGGTGTACCAGCATTCTTACACAGCCTTCTACATCATCTGCAGTCTGGATACCCCGTAAGTAGCCAAGAGAGCCTCATTGTTCCATTTATATCGTACTGCTTTTACTACTTTTACTTCTTCTGTTCAATTGGTTAATTCAGTTAACTTTCAATTATCCACCAATCCTTCAAGAGAAAGGGTTATTGGTCATCTTTGACCTCAATAGGCAACCAGGTTTGACATCCACAGATCCTTCATCTGAACATCTAAAGTGCCAGATCAAGAAGAAACACTCTTTGATGCTACTGAACCGTCGCAATGTTACAGCACTGTCAGCAGTGCTCAATTCTATTTGTGTGCTGCCACCTAGTGGTAATGGGCCAAAATACATCTTACCTGATAAGCCTCATTCATCCTCAAATCCAGACATAGAGGCAGTGGCACCTCTAATTCTGCAGCCTGCATTGCACAGCACTTTTCTCAATAAGGTGCAGTGACACTGTTTTAGAGCACTGGTATTTATGGATACACTTAAGCCTTTGTTCTTAAATGAGCTACACTTGTTTTTCTCCTGCAGCAGTCCTGAGAGTAGACAGTTACTGTGTGTATGTGTCTGCACTTCTATCTAATAGCATTGTTTCCTCTGCCTGTGCACCCCAGGGCGACCTGGAACTTGAACCCTCCAGAAGTGCGAAATGCTCAGCTGCAGTTTGCAGGCTGGGGACCCCAAGACCAGCAACTGGTAAGAACTAAAGTACAATATCCCAATGTACCTTGTCTCACATCTGCCTGTTGACCAATGATGTTTGAATGTGAGGATTCAAACATGTGTGATGTCTAACATCTGTATGTTAGAGATCAAGACTTAAAAACACACACACATATAGTCAAGCCCGCCTTAACCTTGCATCAGGCCCTGGGGCTGATGGCCCCCTATTTAAACAAAGTCATTTATCAACACGTTCTCACTCCCAACCCGTCACATGTTGACGGACGGTCAGGGCCCCTCCCCGTCACTGTATTACGTACAGGGTACCCCTTGGAAGTCAGTTTTCAATGGGCAGGGCGTCCCATTGACTTGCATAGAGCTCCCTGAACGTTGGTAATAGAGGAGTTGGGATCGCGACTAAATGCTCTCCGCAGATCCATTCTCACAGCGTTTATCAACCTTTTTCTTACTCAATATCAAGCCACACTTATTGTTTTTACTTCTTTATTTTAATTGAATAATGTAGGACTTTTGTTGCCGTCAGTTATGGGGAGGGTAGGGGATCAGAATACTGAAATCTGTATTGTTTCATCGTTTTTTCCTTCTAATTTTGTATTCTTTTCTAAACCACACACTGTTATTTACTCAACAATAACACATAATTAGGGTCTGAGACCTAGGTCGGCGAAGACCGATAAACCTGCGAAAAACACCCAAAAACAGGGAAAACGACCGGCAAAAGCACAGAAAAGGTTCGGAAATCATGACGGCTGATAGCCCGCGCGAGCCCAGTCGCGGAGCCCACGTGACTGCAACTCGCATAATTTATATCGTTACGATCAATTTAGTTGGAGTTGAAAGAGATAAGATATACTTTATTGATCCTAAGTTGGAAACATTTGCGTTACATCAGCATGTGTAACAGTTGTAAATATGTAGTGGTGTTTATTTTTAAATCATTTAGTATAATCACACAAATTCTGTGTTTTATATTTAATAATTCTGTGTTCTTTATTTATTGATTGTTCAATACCTGACAAGGTCGGAGATGAAAAACCTGAGTCGCAGGTTCTTCAACAGTGCATCGACAAGACATCTATCAATATGTGTGTATACTAGGCTTGGGCGGTATGACGGTATTACGGTATACCAGGGTATTTGGAAATACCGTCGGTATGATTTTCAATACCGTGACGTCACAGACTGTGCGCCAAATCACAGATCCGTTTCATTCTATTACACTGACACGGAGTTTTGACAGGGACGACATTGGTTGTAATGCACAGCACGCGCCAGCAGAGGGCAGGGGAGGGCAGTCCGTCTTTCCCGCTCTCAGAGCTCAGCACAGAGCTGAGCTGAGCAAGATGGCGGCAGCATTTGCCGGCCCCGAACTCGGACAACTAGTAAAAAAGAAAAATGCCTCTGCGCCTGTTTGGGACTATTTTGGGTTTACTCGTCGCCAGTGACTTCATCCAGCACAACGAGAGACAGAGGCACTTCTTTGGGAATGTTTAAGACGGGGTGAGTGAGTGTTGACATGTTTTAATCCTATGCAACTGGTTGATGGTTTTGTAGTCGAGGTCGGACGGTTTTAAAAACGAAAGCATTTACGTGCTAAACATTCACGCGAGTAATCCAATGAATCAAATGGAAATAAGGTTTTTAACACATGCACGGAATAATATTGCCAAACTAGTTAGTGAATATAGCAAACTTTATTCAATAAGTCAAGTATTTACTCCCGGA